CACAGGGACGACTTCGCCATTTTACCTTACTTCTTCTGTCTTAGGTCCGAATATTCTGCTCATCACTCCTATGTATCAAATACCCGCCACCTCTATTCTTCTCTTAAGTTATGAGGCCAAGTTTGATACACGATACGGAACATAGAACCGTACTTTTGTGGATTTTGGAGCAGGTAATGGCAAAAGTAATTGAAGAGCCTTTGCTCCAGTGTCCGATGCTATTGTATCAGAAATTTCTAGGATCCTGAACCCACATTTTTCGCCTTAGACGTTTATATTTCGTACTCGGCACTATAACTTGATCTCTGACATTAAGGGAGGAACATAGACTGAGGGTGTTGAGGAGAATATTTGGATTGAAGAGATGAAGTGACAGGAGGTTGAAGAAAACTGCATAATGAGGAGCCTCATAACTTGTACTCTTCTCCAAGTATAATTAGAATGATCAAGTCAAGGAGGATGAGGTGGGCAGGGCATGTAGCATGAGTGTGGGAGACGAATGCGTGTAGGATATTGGTGGGAAAGCCAAAAGGAAAGAGACCACTGGGAAAACCAAGGCGTAGGTGGGTGGACAATATTAGAATGGATCTTAGATAGGATGGGATAGTATGCATTTGATAGGTCTGGTTCAGGATAGGGACCAGTGGATGGCTCTTGTGAACACGGTAATGAACCTTCGGGTTCCATAAAATGCTGGGAAATTCTTGAGTAGCTGCAGAATTGGCGGCTCCTCCAGAAGGGCTCAGCTCCATAAGTAAGTAAGTCAGTATTCGGCACTATAACGAGGCAATGCTGACTGTACTGGTGGTGAGATTTGGAAACTATTAAAGATGCCATCATGTTCTCTTCCTGTATACAATCGCTTCTGTGGCCAGTACTGCACGACTGCATGATGTCTCGAAGTTATATATGGCGCGCCGAACCAGGCATGCAATTTACGTTATCGCACTTTGTGAAGTGAGAAATTTAGATGTTCTTACAATTTCTGTTGACTAAATAGTTTTAAATTTAAATGTCGACCCAACCTCTAACAGAAATGAGTATCAGGAATATTCTTGGAATATTCTTGGGGGTAAAGGGCGGTCGGCGCGTAGGATTGACAACCTCACCTCCATCTATGATCCGATTGTCTAGAAAATGTGGGAACCTCAACATCCCACAACCCTATGGGCCTTCATGGCCTGTTACAGGGATAGGTTTACTTACTTTACTTACCTAATTATTGCAAAACGTAGAAGAGAGAACATGAAGATAAAGCAAAGAACAGATGCCCCTGTGACTAAGTCACAAGTGGTAGAAGCGTATGACAGGGAGCAGAAGATCAGCACTGCATGCTCTTGGTACGAGAGTCAGATGAGAATTGCTACTTTAGAACGCAAAATTAAGCCTTAGATACCCATTGGCTTTGAAGCTGCGACGATTCCTCGTTAAGAATGAAGAATTAGATCTTCGCCTTGATAGAAATCGAACCCCGGTGTCGGATCCTAGTAACCCTTTGGGGACTGAGCTATCCCAATTCACTCGAGAGGACATAAATCATCGATAAATCAATACTCTCCATCACAAACACAATAAATATAGGATAGATGGCAGATGATGCTGCGACATATTTGCTCAAGACAAGATCTCTGAAGCCAGAAGAGACAGCATTGTTAGAGAACGGCTCTGCAAACCAACCCGTTGCTGTGCAACAAATTCGTAACACGCAACAATGGAGTAACTGGGAAGCGATGTTATTTAGGCTGTCAGTGCGATAGCAGCTTGATGGAACAATAGAAGGTCTGTTGGGAGAGGTGTTCTCTATGTGCTCCGTGCCTGGATGTTATAAGCAGGACAAGTCTAGAATTTAGTTAGTTTTGAGACAGCCGCCGGGCAATAAGGACGTGAACACGGAGGTGGAGGGATCTACGGCGTTGGGAGCCGTTACCAGGCGACAACCGATGAAGATAACAGACTGAGAAGACTTCGTACATGCTGTAGTGAAATGCAGAGTGTGCGAATTAACGTTAACGCTGTAGTTATTTGTAGTAACGTTCTGTAAGAATTCTGTAAATCCAATTAACAGTCCAAACCTCATCTATAGCCACGCAGTCATGTGACAATACCTATCAGGATTGACCACAGGATAATTAAAAATGCAAACATATTGAAGTCACTGATGTAAGTAAACACTCAATTAAGCAGTGCAGTATATAGGACAGAATTGCTGAACTGATTGAGGCCAAGAAAAGCGGAAGCGATGCATATCGAGTTTCCTATAATTTAATAATAATAATAATTGAATAATGGTGCGCCATTAATCAAATAACAACAGCAACAATGCTTTATTTAATAAGACCTGTGGGACGATCCAGAACAGTGGTTCAGCCAGATAATGGAAAAATCAAGAAAGGAAGAAAGAGATGGCAAGAAATTGAAAAAGAAGAATTGTTGGTATAGAGAAGAGATTGGAGACACGCATGCACACATCGGAAGAATAATCGTCATAACTTTCACGCGATATCGCAATTTCTCTGAAGTCCCAACGTCACTCTGACAGCGGAGTTCTGCATGTGATCCCGAAGATAATATTGCGAGGTCCGGTGACTGTGAAGTCCACAGGATCCTCGACTGATATTCGTATTATCATGTAAGCGATTTATTCTTTGGCTTTTCACTTAATGACATTGAAAAAAAATGGGTTGGCTTTAGCTCCATAAAGGAGGACTTCCAGACTACAGTTAGAACTGTCCACTAACGACGGTACATATTGCAGAGACATTTAGTATAATGCACACCGGTGTTCTATTATTGTTGTTGTTTTCCTCTTTTGCGACAGGAAATATAGCAACCAGTAGGCTTACCTTCAACTCAGGGTTAAATATTCTTCACCGTTGGTGATTATAAAATATCAGTTTGCATATCTGTTGATATCAATTAGTAAACTAAGTAAATTCATCAGAGTTCTTCTTGAGAATGTAATATTACTCTACAAATAAATTATTAGACTGTTACGGTACCTTGGGGGCATACAGTATCATTGTTAGTTGAGACGCTGTGCTACAAGCTGGAAAGTTGCTGGTTCAATTCTCGATGAGGTCATTGGATTTTTTCAATTCACCTAATCCTTCCAGCCGCACTATGGCCCCGGGGTCGACTCAGCCTCTAACAGAAATGAGTACCAACAATTTTCCTGGGGGTAATGGGCGGCCGCGCATAAGGCTGACAACCTTATGAGCCGATGGTCTAGAAAATGTGGGACCCTCAACGTCTCACAACCCTATGAGCCTCCATGGCCCGTTACAGGATTAGCTTTATCTTACGGTACTTGAAGGTTCAGTACTGTATCACAGGAACTCGTTACTGATCTTTCTCCTCAGTCAGATTAATCCAGACCCCTACGAGCTTAGTGTTCCAATATCCATTTTAATATTAGGGTTCAAATGGCCCCCTTTCCTCCAGACTTCCTCTCAGAAGCGTTACTTGCATTTCTTGCCTCCCTGTGCGTTAACTTACAGTGATTCCATTATTCATTTTGTGCACAGTTTATTATACCCTGTTCCTCTTGACGCCGTTAGGTTTGTTAGATCCAGTGATTTAACATCTTCAGTTTAACTGCTTGGAGTACAGGAATTTTGTATACCATGAAAATTCTAACCAGTAGCTTTAAGTAAATTAATTGTGTTTGTGACCTTTATAACACCAACACTCCTTACCAAAATGTATGAAGCTTCTATAGAATCTTTAATTAAGGAAAGGTAGGTGTATGGACCTTTTAAAAATATTTATTCTAAGTACTATGACCTTCTTTCGCTTGTACGAAAGAAATCAATGTCATAAAATATGTATACACGAATTATAGGGAATACTTTCCATAACATGAATCGGAAACATGACTTTACCGATTTTAATGTGGATGAAAACCCTCTTTAATTTATTGGAGAGCATTGAATATGATCATACTTATTCAAACTTGTAGCATACGTTACTGCCTATGGATGCTTACACTGTAATGCTTTCCAAAAAAATACAGCTTTAAGAGACATTTTAATTAAGGAATGAGATATTTATTACTTTCTTTCAAAAGTAGAAAGAGAAATGAATACAGAAAGACATTGCTCTTTGATTGGATGTTTCAGCCCAAATAACATGCTTTTTCTCTCAGGGTTCGCTTGGGATATTTTGAGAGGTAATTAAATAATACAAACTGCGATATAAGATTGTATACGATGCCTTGTCTTCTTATTCTTTATTAGAACCATTCATCATAGTTAATAAGTTAAAACAATACCTAAATTTTATTTCAGATAAAGTCTGTATAGTTTTATTATATCTGTTTTAACACGTATTTTCAATGCAGGTACAGGATTTCATAAATAGAAACTTCATCCCTGGTATAATAAATAATTATAAATATATCTTGATATATGTCTCATAAAATATGTATACAGAGTTGAACTGATTTGCATTGCTAGTATAATACATTAAATAAATAATGTTGAATCAGATGGTTAAATAAATATAAGTTTATGTCAGAATTAGTTGAATTGGCGTTTCTGAGACCCTAACAATGTTTCGCAACGGCAGTGATAAAAAACATAAGTAAATTGGTTTCAGTTTAGAAACAAAGGGGTATTTTTTGTAAATATATGTAAAGTTGAGAATGTTAATATTTGTAATTGATTGTTGGCATGGTGTTAAAGAATCAAGAAACGTAACAATTAACAGAATGAGAATATTATTTAGGGTATATTCCAGGATATCCATAATGATTGCGTTACGAATACTCTCCAGACGGGTGTGACGCCTCAAGAACAATTCTTTTTCCTCTCCTACCACACTTTTCTGTAGCCATGCTGTGCTGGATATCCAAAGTGCCCAGTTGATATAGGTGTATCTACAAAAATTTAACTTCTTCCACAACAGTTGGGAGTCCAAATTGATGAGGGTTTCTATAATATCCAGTAGAGACTGGCTTGTCAATCACGATTTATTCAATTTTTTTCCACTGCAGTTAGGAGTCAGAAGTGACTTGGATATCCATAAAGTCCAGCAGAGATTGGCTTGTCAATCACAATTTGTTCAATCTTTTCCACTGCAGATGGGAGTCCAAAGTGACTTGGGTATCCATAAAGTCCAGCAGAGATTGGCTTATCAATTACGATTCCTTCAACCTTTTCCAGTGCAGGTGAGAGTCCAAAGTGATTTGGATATCCATAAAGTCCAGCAGAGATTGGCTTATCAATCACGATTTCTTCAACCTTTTCCAGTGCGGATGGGAGTCCAAAGTGACTTGGGTATCCATAAAGTCCAGCAGAGATTGGCTTATCAATTACGATTCCTTCAACCTTTTCCAGTGCAGATGGGAGTCCAAAGTGATTAGGATATCCATAAAGCCCAGCAGAGATTGGCTTGTCAATTACGATTTCATCAATCTTTTTCACTGCAGAAGAGAGTCCGAATTGACTTGGGTATCCATAAAGTCCAGCAGAGATTGGCTTGTCAATCACGATTTCTTCAACCTTTTCCAATGCGGATGGGAGACCAAAGTGACTTGGGAATCCATAAAGTCCAGCAGGGATTGGCTTATCAATCAGTATATCTTCAAACTTTTCCAGTGCAGTTGGGAGTGCCAAGTGACTTGGGTATCCATAAAGTCCAGCAGAGATTGGCTTATCAATCACGATTTCTTCAACCTTTTCCAGTGCGGATGGGAGTCCAAAGTGACTTGGGTATCCATAAAGTCCAGCAGAGATTGGCTTATCAATTACGATTCCTTCAACCTTTTCCAGTGCAGGTGAGAGTCCAAAGTGATTTGGATATCCATAAAGTCCAGCAGAGATTGGCTTATCAATCACGATTTCTTCAACCTTTTCCAGTGCGGATGGGAGTCCAAAGTGACTTGGGTATCCATAAAGTCCAGCAGAGATTGGCTTGTCAATCACGATTTCTTCAACCTTTTCCAATGCGGATGGGAGACCAAAGTGACTTGGGAATCCATAAAGTCCAGCAGGGATTGGCTTATCAATCAGTATATCTTCAAACTTTTCCAGTGCAGTTGGGAGTGCCAAGTGACTTGGGTATCCATAAAGTCCAGCAGAGATTGGCTTGTCAATCACGATTTCTTCGACCTTTTCCAGTGCGGATGGGAGTCCAAAGTGACTTGGGTATCCATAAAGTCCAGCAGAGATTGGCTTGTCAATCACGATTTCTTCAACCTTTTCCAGTGCATGTGGGAGTCCAAAGTGATTTGGATATCCATAAAGTCCAGCAGAGATTGGCTTATCAATCACGATTTCTTCAAACTTTTCCAATGCGGATGGGAGTGCCAAGTGACTTGGGTATCCATAAAGTCCAGCAGAGATTGGCTTATCAATCACGATTTCTTCAACATTTTCTACTGAAGATGGGAGTCCGTAATATCCAGAGTGCTTAAACAGATTTAGAATATTGGAGTACTCAGGCGAGTATGGTCCTTCGAACCCTGAGTATAATGGGGATCCGGGATAGTTCAAAATGGGCAAAGGTAGGAGTTTGCTAGGGTCTGCGTAAAGCTTTTCAGCTTGTGGCAGATATTTTCCTGCGTATCCAGGAGACCAAGTTGGTACATGGCCGTGCGACAGAAGACTCTCTACCAGTGCATCTTCGATACGTGGGCTACTGTAATCGAGGTAAGGGAATTCTGCGTCATACTGCACATGGGAATACTTCGCGGGATCGAAAGGCAAAGAGTGAAGATAAGGAGCGTAGTCGAAGGAGGGACCTGGGAAGTAGCCAGAAATGCCTCCGAATTCAATGGTTGCTGTTTCTTTGACAGGTGGAAGAATCAACTCTTCACCGATGTGAGGCAACACCTTGCGTATGCTACTCCCTAGCAACTTGCTGTACAGTGGGGACTCTCTGACGTCTCGGTTTGTTTCATCAGCATTATTTTCCTGAAAAATAACAACGAATGGCGTTTAAATGTCAACTCTTCAAGGACTAGAATGCCATGATGTTTACAGTTTATGTTTCACTGACTAATGAACGCAGATCACAGTGGCCGCGTGGCCTAAGGTATGAACTGTTTTCTCCCGCTGGAACGCTAGAATCGTGGGTTCGAATCCGATTCGAGGCATGGATGCCTGTATGCGTTTTGTTCCGTGTTCAGCTAGTAGAGAACGGAGACAGAGAATCCTAGTGCGTGTGCAGTGGTGAAATGTAAAGTGCGTACATCAGCAGTAGCGCTGTGTTGCCTGTGTGTACGTGTGACTGAGAGAGGTTGTAACCAAGTTGCTAACAAATCCAATCATCCGAACTTGAATCCGTAATTTTCGTCGCGTGTAACATCCTGCACATGACACTATTAAGACCAATAAACTCATTATATACAGTGAGATATGAATATGATTCCGAAAGTTGTCGTGTTGAGACGGAAACCAAACGATGAAGTTTTATAGGATAACACAACAGATTAGTTTCATGTGGTTTGCACGGATAAGTCTGATCGCTTTGTGAAGACGTTTAATGCAGATTCTAACATAATGGATACTCACGGCGAAGCTCGGTTGAGCATGCTGTTAAATATTCTCGAATCTGATTACTCCATGTTCTATTTGCCAGCCATACCAAACACGCTGGGAAATGTAGTAATGTTAGCCTTATATGTTGGACCTATTAATGTTTTAAGTACACATTCAGAAACAGTAAGGCCTTTTCACGACTGTCGGTTTTCCTTTCCGAAAATGAAGTAAATTTTGATCACTTTTTAGTTTCAGGGCGTCCTGTTGGTCCTCCCTCAGCCCTGCTCATGGTCTCCCTTTCCGTATATATCAGAATCATTTCTTGTTTCCACCCTTGACTTATTCGTCTACCTTAAAATGGTGAAAGCATGTTCTCTGAAACGTTGGTGGCGATCTAACGCATTACTTGTCACGTCACACGAGACAGTATTGTTCGTAATGAACTCTCTGAGAATCTCACATCTCGCAAATGTAAATTGTTTTACGTTAAACAAATGTTGTTTATTATATTTGTATATTAAACACAAGTACATATAATAATATATATATGTATTTAAGATTTGAGGCTTTCACGGCGGTGACTATGAAGAAAGCAGTCTTCTGGGATTTGGCACCGTGTATATGTGGTGTTAACCGACGTTTCGGAGGAACGTATCGCCTCCATCTTTAGGGTAGAAAAACGTCGGTTAACACCACATATACACGGTGCCAAATCCCAGAAGACTGCTTTCTTCATATATATGTATTGTTTTTCGTGAAATAATGGCAACAAATTTTTGCTTCCGTGTAATTAATATGTTTTGAACCGAAAGGAATAATTTGAACATGTCATTTCCCATCATGGGTCGGATAGATCGGGGAATAACGTGACTAACAATGGAATCTGTAGCTGAGATTCGATTCTTATCACGAAAGTTTCTTTTTCTGTGAAATGGATTGTTCTTACCTGACAAAGTGAGACGACCAGAAAAGCTGCAGCGGAAAGGAGCCACAACGTCTTAGCTGCCATTTCTATAGTGACACTTAACTTCCGAACAAGGTAAATTCCTTCTATTATATTTTAATATAGAACTGAAATTACCTGCTGGAACTTCAAGTAATTCAAAAAGACAAGTGACTAAGACGTTGTGTGGCGAAGAGAAGGCTGATATTCTCTTTAGAGAAACCTCGACCAACTGATGACATTCGAGAATTTTCATCTATCTTTTATAGTCGGTTACCTAGAACTCTTCAATTATCTGAGAATCACGAATCATGACTTTAAAATGGATATATATTATTGTTATGAGTTATATACGTCTGCATTTGTCACGTGTTAAAACGTTGGATGTTTATTGTAAATACAAATAAAAATATTCCAGCTTATGTGTCGTCTTTAAAGCACGGTCGATTTTATCCACGAACCCTCAAGGTTTCTTGCCGATGACCGCAGGAAGTTACAAACGCCTTTTAAATTATGAAGACTTCTCTTAAAGTAAATTGATATTGGTTTCTTGCAGTTACCTTTGAATACCGAATTCAAAATAATTCTTACAAAAAAATATTTTTCATGCCTCTACTATGATTTCTGAATATTAAATAAAATTTTGTTTAAAGAACATTAAATGTTTTATTTTTCAAGAAATGCACAAATGAACAGTTAATGAAAATGACGTCATCATAGGCTTATCAGTTTGTCCGTTCGTTGACATGTTTCACCTCCGGAACTACCGATGTGAGTTAAGTCTGACATTATGTTTTCTCCTTTTGCTCCAACTTTGGAGCACAGGGCTGATTTCTCAGTTTCTTGATCGTTTTTACAGACTGTAGGACTCCTTGGACGGGTGATAAGCTCGTCGCAAGGCCTCTACCTAAACACAGGACAACACAAACGCAGAATAAACATCCATGTCTTGTGTGGGATTCGAAACCACGACCCCGGCTTCCGAGCGAACGAAGGCAGTACGTGCCTTAGACCGTTTGACATTATGAGGATACAACAAATGTTACTTGGCGAATCTGTATTTGGCTTGTGTCGGCCAGATATGACTAAAATATATTGAATTTTATTAATCTTCTAAAAAACTACGTATCGTAAATAAGTGTATGTCTCATTAAGCTCCATCACGTATATTCGTAATGTTTCAGCATCATGTTAAACGAATGTACCACTCATACACATTTACGTCCGTCTTAAAAGTCTTAAAGGTAACTTTATTTGTAATTGTTTCTCTTTCATAAACAAAAAAAATTAAAACTTAACCATTAGAAATTGTTACATATTACGGTCGTACTTTGCCATCTTCAGGCAACTGATCGGCCGCTGAACTGCTTACAGTGTCATTAACAATAATAAATAAATACAATTAAAGACCTTCATGCGTAGGTGTCGTTCATTGAACTGAGGAAGTTGAAACAGATCTGCGTGCTGATCATATGATGTAGGGTATTCTGATGCGTGTCTCGTTGCACGGGGCGTTACTCTCGTCAAGGACGTCAAAGCTTACGCTCAGGCATAAAATGAGCGACACTAAGTATTGTCCCAGTTGTATGAAGATTCAAATCGCTGTGATAGGTTATTCAGCGATGCTGCATGAATATTGTAGGGGATAGTGTACAAAGTAATAATGGGACATCATTGGGCATAGCATTAACTTTTTCTCGAAATAATGGAACTGAATTCAAATATAGTATAAAGTAGATTTCTATGAGTGTTTTATGATTATGTGGTTTTCTCTGGCTTATACGGAAGGAGCATTTAACTGGTTGATCCTCCGAGCCTTAATATGGGAGCTCCTTTGTTTTTTATTCTAACGTTGTTGCCACACAGGATGATTACGATTTTCAGAAATAACAAGAACTACAAATTTCACTCCCTTTTGAATAACGTACCCCAAATAAGCTGTTACTGAGTAAATAGGTTATGCAAATAACGAAATTTCCGGTCTAGAAAACCGAAATTAACGGCTGTGGGTATTCGTTGCGTTGACCACGTGACACCTTCTACCCGCAAAAAAAAAATGGCATTAACTTCGCCGACAAGCGGCGGTCGCTCGGTCAGTAGAGTTCACTTGCGGACTACAGGCCACGGAGTTTGTAATAACGAAATTGACAGTCGTTAAGTTATAGGAGGCTCAGCTTTTTGTTTTATTATATTTTTTTGTTTCGCAAGACATGTGAATAGGGCTACTACGTGTTATGAAATTCGAAGTAATGACGATATTTCACGAGAATAAACTTAAATTCACTAATGAAACACACTCTCACAGTATGTTTGACATAAATAGGAAAAATTAAAAACCTGCTGTTATGGCTCCAAATTCGACATACAAAACTGCGACGTGATGCAAAATTTATGTGTCCTCATTTATAATCAACATATCAAAATTGGTTTAGAAAGCTAGTTGTATTATACTTTATCGTAACATTGTAGATTAATGATATCGATTGATTAAGGATTAATTTAATTTTGCTGTTTTCTCTGAAAGGGTTTATATTCTCGAAATAGATGGGAAGAGGGTCACAAACGGTAAGTAGATATAGGTTTCAAATGGAACATTGTTACCTACTTAAAGTCGCTTAGACGGACCGAGGGAAATCAAGACCTCAGCCTAAATTTGGTTAAGTCATGAGATAAAACGCCACTCCAAATTTACATTTAAAAATCTTGTTTTTATTTCATATTTCGAAACGTAAACTGTTGTTATTAGGTTACATAGACAAATTATTGTAAGAACATTTGTTAAAATGTGGAAATATATAAAAATGTAAATAATACTTATGATAATGAGATTAGTTCGGATCCACCTTAATTTGACAAAGGCATGAGCACAAATGGGCATGTACTGTCTTCGCTCGCTTGGAAACCTGGATCGTGGGTTCGAATCCCACTCAGGGCATGGATGTTTAGTTTGTGTGTGTGCGTTTTTCTGTGTTTGTCTACAGGTAGAGGCCTTGCGACGAGCTGATCACCCGCCCAAGGAGTCCTACCGAATGTGTAAGATGTAGAAAAACCGAAGTGAACGGAGAAGTTCATGGAGGTAGGCCTAGGCCCACTGGGGCTGTAGTGCAAAGGAAAAGAAAATGAGCACAAATGAGCTTGCCGGGATGGCGCAGTCAGTATAGCAACTGGCGAAGGGCTGGGCAGCCGAGGGGTTGGAGTCACGAGGTCACGAGTGGCACCCCTATTTACACAGATTGACACTGGGCGCTCTAGCGAAGCATGGTCATAACACAACACGTAAATTTTTTTTCCTTGGCACTACAGCCCCAGTGGGCCTAGACCTATCTCCATGAACTTCTCCGTTCACTTCGGTTTTTCTAGATCTTACACATTCGGTAGGACTCCTTGGGCGAGTGACCAGCTCGTCGCAAAGCCTCTACCTGTACACAAATACAGAAAAAGGCACACACACATCCATGCCCTGAGTGGGATTCGAACCCACGATTCCGGCTTCCGAGCGAGCGAAGACAGTGCACGCCTTAGACCGCTCGGCTACCGTGACCGGCAGTGTATAAGAATAATAATAATATGGGTAATCATTATCATTATTGTTGATATTTCGCTCTTAGCTCGTCAAGCACTTCAGTAGATGGACTTAATGATTATCATTACTTGAAGCACTATGCTACAAGCTGTAAGGCCGCGGGTTCGATTCCCGATTAAATCATTCGATTTTTTTTTTCAATTGACCTAATCCTTCAAGCCGCACTATGGCCCTGGGATCGACAGAGCCTCTAGCAAAAATGAGTACCAGGAATCTTTCTGAGGGGTAAAGGCCGGCCGGCGCGTAAGGCTGACAACCTCAACCGCCATATGTGAACCGATTGTCTAGAAAATGTGGGAACTTCAACTTCTCACAGCCCTGTGGGGCTCCGTGGCCTGTTACAGAGAGAGCTTTACCTTTTTTACCTTTACATTATAATACATATCGTATCTTATGTAAATTCATAAGCTTTACTAATCACTTCTAAATTATTTCTTGATTATATTATTATTATTATTATTTATATCGTCATCATCTTGTATATTACAATTTCAATTCTTGTTATTATTATTATATTTTATTAGCATCGTTACTCATATGTTAAATTTGCCATGTTTTGTTCTTTCTCACACCCCTGCTCTCTTTGTAATTGGCCCCCTGAGTGAGCATATAAATAAATAGGAATGTAGTTGAATTATTATTATTATTTTATTAATTTATGTTTATATTTCCTCTCATACCATCATGGTTGGCATGATCGCACCAATTGAATGATTATTATCTGTATTATACATTTTGCCTTGTTTTATCTTTGTTTTGTGTTTGTCTCGTTTCTCGTTATTACTGTATAAGTCGATTATGGGCAGTCGAATTGGATAGCTATGAATAGCCCGCTATAACTTCTTAATTCGATTATGTGCAAAAATACTGTCTCCCAAATTTTTCTGTGATAAAAATAAATATATTTATATATCTTATTTAATATCCAAATAGAATATGACTGTAAGTCCAATTATCTGTTCCTCCCTCGCTTGTATGATATACTGTATTATCGGACAATAAAACAACAGGCAGATATTTTTAACTCTTATAAATAACAACAGTTTATATTACATTTATATAAAAATGTAGTGCGGAAACCAAGTACCGGTGTAAAGTTGTAAGGCTTTGTTAATGTAACGAGTTTTTATGATATCCCATGTACTCATACAGTCCGACCGCCATTTTGTTGTCCGGTAATATGATCCACGTAGTCATAGAAATAATGTTCATAAAAAGAAGTTTAATTTTATTAACAACAATATTAAGTATAATACATAATATTTACAAAATTTACATTTTTACAACTGTTCAGTACAGGAATGTAACACGTGTGCCAAAACTTGACACCAACGTTTATACCTTTGTTTACATTAACTTTTGGTTATTGTTTGTTAAATGTAGGTTTTTATTACGTTCATGCCGTGAAATTAAATACGTTTGTTACATATCTGAATATTCTTGAGATACAGCTGAAGCAATATTTTAGACTCTAATTAAAAAT